GAAATTCAATATAGCAATTGTTAAGCTGATGGAGCAAATATTCATCATGGGCTGAGCGTGGGGAATCACTCTGTTAGACAAGCTTGACATGTTCGACTCCATATAAAGTCAAAGCAACTGCCTAGCAAGAACACACTTTCGTTTATGCATGTGAGTGTGCAACCTCCATGAGCAGAGGCAAAATGTTAGGTCCAGCCTTCAAAAGGGCTTCCCCGAATTATTTGAAGAAAAGGAACTGAGTTAAAGCAGAGATTTTGCCCATTTTCCCCCAAGTCCCTAATTTTTACTACCTGCTTTAGTGTTCATTGCACAGCAAAGAAATTCTCTATATTAGTTCCAATTCCTGAAGCATTCTGACTTATTACTTCAAAATGACTGATTGTTGTTTGCTACAAGTGGCCCCAAGGTAGGCGTGGTACATTATTAAATAGGTAAGTGACAAATGATCGGAGAATCTCAGAACTGGAAATTTCAAGACCAAATGGCCCAACACTGGGAAATACCTAATCAACCAGGAGAAGGGGCTGTCTTCTCTTCCCTCCATCCTCCAGGAAATGGTCCCTGGGTTCTCCACTACTTCCATCTTTTATCACCCTGATGGTAAGAGAAGGACATAAACCTCTCTTTAAGTTGATTTAAGTTGACTTCTCCTAAAAGAAATGGCACATACATAAATACGCAGACTTTTAGAAAAATAATACTAAGAAGAGTTTTCTAGAGAAGGGGGAGAAGGTTGGAAAGGAACAGGAAAAAGCAAAAGAATATAAAATCAAAAATTAAAATAACTGCCTTTGTTAAAGGGAAGAGGATTAAAGTGTACATCAAAAAATAAGACCTGTGATGAACTCTGTTGGTATTATATGCCCTCTGCTATGATGCAGAGAGAAGAGCGCATAACCACTGTGGTAGTCTCAAAATTTTAACTCCAGTCCAACCATGACAAAAGCGTCAGACAGACACACAAGGCACATTCTATAAAATACCTAGCTAGTACTCTTCAAAAGTATCAAGATCATGAAAAACCAGGGCAGACTAAGACCGGGTCACAGAATAGAGCAGACTAAGGAGACACAATGACTAAATGCAACACAGGATCATGGATGGGATCAGGAACAGGAAAAGGACTTTAGTGGAAAAGCTGGTGAAATACGACTAAAGTCTGGAAATGCAGTCAGTAGTGATGTACAAATGGTAAATCCTTAGTTTAGACTAATGTCCCCAGTGAGATGCAAATAACAGGAGAAACAGAGTGGAAGAGAACTCTCTGTACGTTTTCACAAGTCTTCGGTACAGCTACATATATTCCAATGTTTACAGTTTCTCTTAAAAATGCAGAATATTTGATCATTAAAGAAATGTTACTCACATAAGAAAAAGCTACTATGTTTCTGTTAGTATCAATCTATTGCATGGTTTCTACACAAAAATGGCTGTCCACCAGGTTTGAAATAACCCTTTGGAAATTGTTTATTTGGTAAAACTTAGTTCACAAGTGAGGTAATGCGACACAGTCAAAAGAACATTTCACTGTGGAACTTGGTTGCCACAGTCAAAAAAATTGGAGTTGTACTAGATTTACTTTTAATTGCCTACTGGCTCTAAAATGTTATGATTCGCTTGAACAAATTATAGCATGAGTATGAAAAACAAAAATCTTTTAAAATTAATTTGAGAATATCATGTGTCTGGCTGAGGCAAGACGAACTGAGGTACAGCTGAACTGTTGATATGCTATTGTTTCTTCACCTTATCTAAAAAGTAACAATAAGGGAGGGTGCTCAGGAAACTTGGCAGGGGAGTCTGGAAATGCTGGGATGGTGATTCTGGGAGGCAAATCTATGAAACAGCAATGGCTTTTAAAGCCAAAAAAAAAAAAAAATGGGGGAAATATATTCATGCAGAGAATGGCCTAAGGCAAGAGCCATAACGACAAGCTATGCAAAAGGATGAGGCATTTGGTCAGGCACTGTCTGCTCCTTACTGTTAAGAAGTCCAGGGCAGAGGCAAGCCCTGTTCAGGGAATTCTTTGAGAATCCAGCTGCATAAACAATGCATCATGGAAGAAAGGCTGGGGCTTTAAGATAAGAGAGAACCCTGAGTTCCCAATAGGAAAGAACCCTCCTTTTCCAATGATGAGTGTAGTAAGATAAATGGTTTAATCTAACACTGGAGGTAGAAAATGAGAGTAAACCAGCAAGGATAATGACCTCAATGACTGGATTACAGGAAAAGCCAGCCTTTCACCAGAAGGATGGAGTGTCTGAAAAAGTGATTCATGCTCTGAACCAGTGCCCAGTGAATAATATGAGACCAAGTATCTGCATATAATTACCTAGTGGGTACAGAGCTGTTATCCCAGGTTCCCTTAAACACTCTAAAATAATCTTTGCAAATTTAAAACAATTCACTTCACTGTGGATTGAAAGAGGAAAAGAAAGGCACCCATGAAGCATAAATGTTTGTCTTTGAAAGATTAATTCTCCCTGACCAACAAAGGAGCAAGGCTGCCCAGGCTCACGCCTGTGAAATGTGGGCACCCCTGGAAACCAAGTTTTATCACATGATCCCAGAAAAAGTTTGGGTGTCTCATCCAAAAGTACCTAATGGCTATTTTGAGGGATACAGACTATGGGCAGAGCACTATGCCTGGAAAACACAAAAAGAAGTAAATAAAATCCTGCTCTTGGAGAGGCAATAATGTAAGGGTTGAGTCAAATATGCTTAATAGAAATGCATTATGCTTTTCTATCATAAGGTAACTATCCTTTATTTATTTATTTATTTATTTATTTATTTATTTATTTTTGAGATGGAGTTTCGCTTTTGTTGCCCAGGCTGGAGTGCAGTGGCGCGATCTCGGCTCACTGCAACCTCTGCCTCCTAGGTTCAAGTGATTCTCCTGCCTCAGCCTCCTGAGTAGCTGGGATTACAGGCATGAGCCACCACGCCCAGCTAATTTTGCATTTTTAGTAGAGATAGGGTTTTTCCATGTTGGTCAGGCTGGTCTCGAACTCCCGACCTCAGGCGATCCACCCACCTCGGCCTCCCAAAGTGCTGAGATTACAGGTGTGAGCCACCGTGCCCGGCCCATTTGTATAATGACTTAAAATGCTTTTATATTTATTCTCTGGAAATATTTCAAGGCTCATAAAACCTTGTGTGGTAGTCATTGTTCTTGTTATTAACCACTTCTACTCCCATTAGCCAATGACAGAGGTCCTCTGAGGCTCAAAGCAGGCAAGTGACCTACTTAAAATGACACAGCCAGCAAGCAGTATAGTCAAAACCTGAACCTCATGCTTTTTCCTGCTGCAAATACAGATTTGTTGTCCCAGTTTGCTTTTAGAATTTTTCTTTGTCTTTAATACCCTACAGTTCACCAAAGAGTGTCTAGCGGTAGATGTGGTTGTATTTACCATCACTGCTCTGAACTCAATGTGCCTCTTCCACCTGGGGAAGAGTGTTTTTCCTCAGTTTAGCAAGTTCTCACCCACATTCCTTCACATATGGCCTCTATCCCAGTCTCCCTAGTCTTTCGTTCTAGAATTCAGTTAGATACTGTGGGAACTTCTCAGCCTATCCTCCAAGCTTTTCATGACTCATCCAAATTTTCCTTCTTTGTATCTCTCTGTGCTACATTCTGGGTAGTTTCCTCAGATCTCTCCTCCAGAGCCCTAATTCTCTCCTCATCTTTACACAATGTGCTAGCTCATTCTTTTCCGAATCTACCTTTATTCACACTATCTGTCCTTCCATTAGGGTTTCTCTACCCTCTTATCTTTTGGGTCATTTCACACACACTTCCTGCATTGTCTCTGGCAGGTTGTTCCTACATGTTACCCTCAAGGTAGCTTCATTCTAAGTCCATCCTCAGTGGAAACTGTTTACTGCAGGAAGACCTCACTTGCCCAGGGTTAGGAGAGTATCCCTACTGAGTGGTTTTGCAGATGTTTCCAATGGGCAGTTTGTCTTCCACATTCTGTCTTATGCAAATTTCTCTACTTGGGGAGACATCTGGATAAAGTGACCAATTTAACTCAAAGGACATTTTTTGTGCACGTCAGTTTCTCTGCAAGGATCTCAGTCTAGAGAAAATGAAATAAATAAAATATTCCCATAAGAGATAGTGTAAATAAAATGCCTATCCCAGAGAGTAAAACATGGTAAACATTAACCCAATGCTAATTGTCTCCCTTTTCCATTGCAGTAAGCAGCAATCTTCACTTGGGCTGGTGGCTCTGAGAATCCCTCCGTCTCTCTCCAGTTTTTAATCCTTTATTAAGGCCGTTTTTCACCATTATGAGAATGAATGGTTATACATTGTTCAAAATAAATGCTGTTTTAAAATTATTTTTATTATTATAAGTATGTATCAATTATGAAATTGATTTGGGCAAGCTTTTAATGACTAGTTTTAGCTTTCTGTGATTATAGATTCCATTAATCCTCCTTTTGTAAGAGTTGAGTTATAATCAGTCTCTTACTAGGATCAGTTTCTCATTTGAGGAAATTATCAAGCTATTTCTAAAATTATACTTAGGGGTTCTAAGACAATTGTCAGTTATTACACACCATCAAAACTGCTATTTTAAAAAGTAAGCTAACACATCATTGCCACACTCCTGAGTTTACAAAGATAAATTAAAAAGCTAACAATGAAACACTATAACATTTATAATTGTCAGAGAAGTATATAAATAAATACTGTTCAGCTGCATTTACTGGCTTGACAAGTAGCCTTTCACAGTTAATTACCAAGATTTCCTTTTAACAGATAGACCATTGTCTGGCAAAACAAAAATTAAAACTATTCTTTCATTGCAAATCCCTCAATATGTAAAAGAAAAACAATGGAAAAATTGTTGAAAGAATTTTCAGTGAACATATTTATATCTGAAAGTTTCACATTGAATAAAGTTTTAACATTACTTACTTTGAGACACAAAAATAATCCTCCCTCTTAGCTCATACAATAAAAAATATATATATGTATTTCTTACCTCTGAACTTCTTGGGAGGGTTGGCAAGGTCCCCGGCCTCTGGGTGCACCACACATCTGTCATCCACTAACCTAGAAGGAAAAGCATGTTTACATTGTTAACATCCTTGTCATATTCATAAATCGTAGACTGCACATGGATATTGCATAAATATTTACCAAAAGTTTTAATACCTTTCTTCACTAAGTAATTTTTTAATAATCATGGGTCTGTAAAAAGATTTGGTTGTAGAGATATTAATTAAAGCCTGGTTTATGAAATTGAAACATAGGAAACATTGTTAAGTAGTAGGAAACTAGTTAGATAACTCATGACATGGAACACTGTGGAGCTGTTTAAAACTACATTAAACAAAATGCACTGGCCTGCAAAATGTTTACAGTGTGTTGTGAATGTAGTGGTAACCAATCAATAAGATACATGTATGCTTAAACACACACACATGCACTTCTACACATACATATATAAGAAATGGAACACAGCAAAATATTAAGAGTGGTCAGATTACCCACAGTTTTTATTTTCCTGTCTTTTTTTTTTTTTTCCTGCGTGTACGTATGTTTTACAGGGAAGATGTAAGCTTATGAGATCAGGCTTCTGGAGTGCCCATAGAGTAGGTGGTTATGCCTTCCTGGCCTGCATTCAATCTCTGGCTTGGCCACTTCCTAGCTAGGTGACTTCAGGCCTCCTTCTTTATACCTAAACAATAAGGATAAAAATATCTACCTCACTGCATTGTTAGAAAGATTAAATGACTTAGTATTTTTAAAGTACCTAGTACGACTTCTGGCAGTTTCCATTCAATGGACAAATAAAATCAAGAACCTTGTGTCTTCACATATTCTCTGCTTCTAGAAGAGTGTCTGACACACTACAAGTGCTCAACAAATATAAGTCAGATGAATAAACTGCCTTTGTAGCCACAACAACATGTTTAATCTCTATTAAAATATTTATGAGAAGACAATTTGTAGGACAATTTCAAGACAGAGAAGCTGAATCTCTGAACTGAGAGCCAAGAGACATGAATCTCTTGCTCAAAGAGAAAGATCTGTTAACACCAGACTCACTAACGTTCATTTCTCCATCGGTTACGTGATGTGAATACCCAGGTTTTTCGCCAGAATATTGTGAGAATGCATGTTAATTAATTACATGTATATGAATCATTTAAAGGGAGATGTCCAAATTGCAACCTGGTAGTTTAAAAAAGAAAAAAAAAGAAGAAGAAGTATTAACCAGACTCACTAGCATGCATCAACTCCACCATAGGAGTTGAACTAGGATGACTGACTTAATCAAAATGAAACTTTTGGTTCCTAGTTTATCTAGTTACTGGAAGCAGACACTTCCTAAATCAACAGATTTTTCTGTGGGATTCAATTTCCATAAAACAATATGCTGATTTGGTCAAGAAATACAGTTCTTTGATTTTTTTAATATATCCTTCATTCACACTGGTTTACTAAAATGTGGTTTTACAAGAGCTGCCAGGCATGCAAGAAATTCCTTTTAAGAGTCTCTAAAAACTGATTTATTAGAAACAGGAAGTCACATTGGGTCAAGAGAAAGCAAACCCAAACTTCCACAATGTCCAACTTCAGCCTGTAACATTGAATCTGAAAGGCTCCAATAGTTCTGAGAATATTACAACATAAGATGTAAATAAAAGGGCTGGCTTTTCTAATTGGTCAAGACATGTTAAGAATTCGAATACAATGGTCAAAACGGTCTTATTTAGAGCACATAAAAATTTGATAATGTAAAAATTACAAATGACACTGACATTCTATTCATTCCTTGTACCTGTGCATTCCCACAAAAACACAGACTCCTATGAATGTCACTGAGTCCCTGCCTGTGTGGACCAGCCATCAAGAAGAATGGGAACTGAAGCTATAAATCAGATGGCAGTGTATTTATGTGAACGCTAATATCTATCCTCAATTATCTGATAGCCCAGATAAAAGCATAATAACTAAGAATGACTTCAGTTCTAAAAATTGGTCCTATTCCTTACACAAAAACGTCTGTGAAAATCACAAAGGCAGTCATTTCATCCTGAAGACTCAAAGAATTGGAACTGAATTTGAAGAGAATGGAAGGAAGGAAAGGACACGAAGAAGCAAGGAGTCTAAATCTGTTACAAGACATACATGACACTGGCATTAAAAGTCAAACAGGATTTTAATGGTAGTTGGAATCCTTTTTGACTTTTAATGCCAAAATCCTAGAACAACTTCTACAATATCCCCAACAGCCTCTTCTTGAATACTTCCAAGGCCAATGTATTTACCATTTACCATCATTCTGACAGCACTAATATTAGAAATGTGTTTTATATGGAGGTGAAATAGTACCTTATCTTTCCCAGTACTTATCCCATTTTCTTCTATCTACTTGCCTAACTGTCTTGAGTCTTCCAATAAATTTTAAGCTCCATGAAGTCAGAGATTGAATCCATCTTGTTTATCATTATATCCTTGGCATCTACTAGAATGAAGTGCAATAGATACTAAATATATATTTGTTAAATAAATAAATGAGTCAGTGAATAAATGATGTCGGCTTCCCAACTAACTCTCCCTGTCTGTTCCCAGTTCTTTCTTCTGGAACTATATAGACTAAGTTTTCTTTTTCTGAGATGAGCAAACTGATTTCTCTCCAGTCCTTCCCCATGTGGATATTTACCAGGAGTTCAACATCCTTCATACACCCCAAGTGCCAGCATCCCCTCACCTGTGATCCTAGAGACTATCCACATGAGTCTAGATGCGCCCCAACAAGGGCAGAGTACAGAGGACTATTACCTCCTTCTTTCTGATACTAAACTTACAGAAATGCATCCTACAATTTTAGTAGCTCCTGTGGCAGTTAAGGTTCCCCTCTGACTTCATTGGGTTTATAGTAAACAATAATTCCAGGTCCTTTACATGTGTACCACTGATAAGCCAGGTTCTCCCACCCACCAGTAGGGCAGTTAACTTTTATAACCTAAGGACCAGAATTTACAACCAAACAGGGATAAATATAAAGACTGACCTTTGGTCCATGAGAAGAAAATCATCTGAAAAACATTGATCTATTCCATCCCTAGTTAACTCATTTAGACCATGTCATGATTTTGTCCATTTTAACCACTCATGATCAATGTTCCCCAAATTTGGCTGAATCATTTGGGGAGTTAAAAATAGTAAGGATAACCAAAAAAAAATCTTTCCTTTGTCCAGACCTATTAGAATAAAACTTTCTGGGGACAAGGACTGTGTGTTTTAAAAAGCTCTCTAACGCTCTTTAAATGGAGTAGGAGGATCTGCTCTGCACTCCTACAATACTCTAGGCCATCCTCTACCAATAGACTGTATCACAGTCCAGTATAACTTTATAATTTCATATATACATATACACACACACACACACACACATATATATATATATGCAACATCATTATAAGCTCCAAGAGAGTCAGCCCATTTCTGTCTTACTCACCATTATAGGGCTATCTTGAAGCATTATGCTTAAAATATAGATGGTGCTAAATAATTAATTGATGATTAAAGTGACATTTAAAATCAGTGATGCTATTTTTGATAGTTAACATAAACAATAAAATAACTAGAAGCAATAAACGGTTGACTAATAGGAGACGGAAGAGAGATTTGGAAATATTCCCTATGTAGGTATGTCCCAGAAAATTATCAAAAATGTCATATCCTGAAAAAGGCCAAAAGAGCCTGCTCTAAAAAACAATATCTCAGGTAGCATCTTTCAATCCAATCCCTCAGTGCACATCTTAATGGGCTACATTTATTTTTCTTAGAACTAACTAGTGATTTATAGCACTAGCCTAAAATTCTCAATTTTTCACTAAAACTCATCTAACATAAAACCCATTGTTTTTTCTACCTATTTTTCTCTTCATATGGTCATAACTGTAAATTATTTGTTCAAATTTACTTACAACAAAAAATTACTCAACGATTAGATCTTCGAAAGTATAAGGAAAATTTAATAGCTACTTTGATTTTATACATAAGTATGAATTTTGTAAATGTGAATGGAATTTTAACTGGACATAACAAGAGTCTTAAAAATTCTGTGAGAAGTATAATATCTACATGAAAAAGCTATGTTTATGCATTAAATTCAAGTCCACTGATACCTTGTTAAAAATAAAGTACACTATTAATTATTTTCACAAATGCCAACAGTCAAGAGAAAATGCATTGCTTTCTTATCTGATTTCTAGGTTTCTGTTGTTTAAGACACTCTGCTGGCCGGGCACGGTGGCTCACGCCTGTAATCCCAGCACTCTGGGAGGCCGAGGCAGGCGGATCACGAAGTCAGGAGATCGAGACCATCCTGGCTAACCCGGTGAAACTCCATCTCTACTAAAAATACAAAAAATTAGCCGGGCGTGGTGGCGGGCGCCTGTAGTCGCAGCTACTGGGGAGGCTGAGGCAGGAGAATGGCGCGAATCCGGGAGGCAGAGCTTGCAGTGAGCGGAGATGGTGCCACTGCACTCCAGCCTGGGCGATGGAGTGAGATTCTGTCTCAAAAACAAAAAAAGACACTCTACTGCTGTCCATGTCCAGAAACATAACTGAAATCCATCCTTCCAACCTGGCTTCAATCTACAGAAATTACCTGAAATCCATCCTTTGAACACATCTTCAAGTTTCATTTCTTCATTGAAGCTATATTCCCCCTGATGGGAGAATCTTCTCTGAAATCTCATAGCAATTTTAGAGTATCTTCTAGTTTACAAGATATAAGTATGACATACACATTAGTCTTATCTTCCCAACCAAATAACAACTATAATCTATCAATCACTAACTGCATGCCAAGTACTGCTCTATATGTTTATAAACATAATTACTAATTTCAAAACAATTTTGCAAAATATTTTCTCTTGCAGATTAGAGAGATCAGATGATAATGGTGGAGATGACAGCTCATGAGCAAAGCTAAGATTTGGACCCAGATCTACAAGACCAAAGACTTGGCTCCCTCCTTCTGTTCTACCAGGCTGAACTTGTATTCTCTTATATATCCACATACTCTGCTT